ACTGTCGAGGTCGCGGCAAACTTTGTCCAGCCGATTACTCAAGACCAGGGTGTTTGTCAGGAAATTTACGACCCGGTTGTTCACCAAGTAGCTGGAGGCTTGCTTCAAGTAGCTCTGTACCACTCCCACTTCGTACTTTATCCTCGAGACTATGTTTAAGCATCGTTCCCAGTATGATGGTGTGTCTATTGTGGTTTTATCTGTGTGAAAGAGCTCGAGCAATTCGCAGATTCGCTTGTCGATGCTTGGGACAAATAAAATCCGCAGGACATCTAAGTAGGGATCGTATTTTTCGAAATTAAATCCAGTTTTATTTACGGTGTTCTGGAATTTTTTATTATTTTAGGAAAAATTATGGAAAAAATTGAGGAGGTTAAGTGTAAAAAGTAGTTACCGAAATTGTATTGGCTGTATTATTCGATGCATGGGGCTGGTTTTCATTCATATTAACCACGCGTAGCCCACCATCAGAACTATTTTGGTGGACTTGTAAATGTCTATAAAAATAATCATCTCGATGTTGAATTAATAAACATTTTAAGTAATTTTAGGTTTTTAATAAACTCAAGTGAAGTTGGGCATTGAAAGTAGCTTTTTTAAAACAATTTCACATCGATTGGAAGCTTTTCTGAAAGAATGAAATTTTTTTACAGAATTTTAACAATTAAAATTCATTTTTGATATTATTTATTCAAAATCTGGAGTTTGTTCTTTTTTTGACTTAAAAAATATAAATTTTTTTTTTTATATTAAATTTTCCATTGCGTAAAAAAAAAAATTTGTGTAAAAATTATATTCTTTAATATTTAATACTTTTGTGCGTCAATTTGAGAAAATTAAATTGTGTCAAACATGAAAAATTTTTTATATTAATTTACTAGCAACCTTGCAGTCACATAGTGACTGCCATGACTTGTGAATTATAAATAAATAAAATTTTGCTTTATTAAATAATGATTTTTATTAAATTGCACTATATTTTTTTAACTATTGACATTTTTTAAGATATAAGCTCATCCCGGTGTTACACTCATCAAAAACTTTCATTTGAGTACCCACATGCATTTTTATATATTTTTCATATATACATATATGTAATATATATATAAATATATGAAAAATTGATGTGGGTACTCAAATGAAAGGTCTCGATGAGTGTAATGTCGGAGTGAGCTTATATCTTTAAAAATGTCAATTGTTCACGAGATATAAGGTCATTTCTTAATTATTGACATTTTTAAAGATATAAGCTCATCCCGATGTTACACTCATCGAGACCTTTCATTTGAATACCTACATGGCATTTTTTATATATTTTATATATATGATATTTGTGAAATATATAAATATATAAAATATATGAAAAATTGATGTGGGTACTCAAATGAAAGGTCTTGAAGAGTGTAACAACGGAATGAGCTTATATCCTTAATAATGTCAATAGTTCACGATTACTAATTATAACTATAATTAGTAATAAAAAGTAAAGAATAATTTATAACAAATTAAAAAATTAAAAAATGAAAAAGGTATTTTAGACAAGATAAATTTGAAGTAAAGGTAAAAAAAGTGGAACAAGGTTTAATAGTTGATGAAAAAAAGGCACCAGTCGGTCGTCTCGTTTACTAAATTCGAGTGGATGATGAGAGGAGCGTTGAAGGGTAGAAAAAGGGAGATGAAATCAGCGGGGGTGGCCCATTCAGATAGTGGCCAGAGCAAACTCGCTCCTGTTGGCGCGTTCGCGGGGGATCAATACTAGTGACGCCGAGACGACAGAGGAGCGTAACAACCGTTTTCTCAAATAAGTACATACCGTCTTTATACACTCATCTCTTGTACACATACACCCACGTCCAACATCTATTTTAAGGTCTTATTTTTCCAAGATCCTGCATCTATATCTCTAGAGTTACTCGATAAATAAAAGTACTGATTACAAAAATCAATGAGCGCGACCTTGTCCCTCAAAAATATTTTAGTTCAAATTTATTTTTAAAATTGCCAAGCTCGGTATTTTTAATTAAAATTTTTTTTTTAAATTTATATTAAAATATTCTGTCTCTATGATATGACGCAACAATGATAAATTTTCGTGACATTCACCCCAAAAGTATAAATAAGACGTAAGTTGAGCAAACTAATATTTCAGCTATCGTTTACTCCGATTCTCCCCCTACTTAATTTAATTAATTTTCTAAGGCAATAAATTAGAAAATGTGAATTATATTTCGTTATTTAAAAAAAAATAAAAATATACCCTAGTTTATTCAATTTTGTAATTAATAATTGAGTAATTAGAAAAATATTAATAATTAATTTTTATAAAATTTTACCTCGAGATTTATTTACTCTAATATTATTAAGAGAGTAAGCAAAATTTTGTAGCCAGTGTATTTATATGATAAAATGGGTTTATATGGTTAAAATTGGTATCATTAGAAAGGTCTTGACCTAAAGTTGTGCCTTTTCATGGTTTCATATCGTTCTCATCAATAGTCGATTTTTTATAATAAATATTTAGGCTGCATTTGAAAATGCTCTATCTCTCGATATATAATTAAGAAATGACCTTGTATCTTGGAAACTATTGACATTTTTAAAGATATAAGCTCATCCCGATGTTATACTCATCAAGAGCTTTCATTTGAGTACCCACATCAATTTTTTCATATATTTCATATATTTTTATATATATATGAAAAATATATCAAAGTGAATGTGGGTACTCAAATGAAAGCTCTTGATAAGTGTAACATCGAGATGACTTTATATCTTTAAAAACTTCAATAGTTAAGAGTGTACAGTGCAATTTAACAAATATCTTGTGAAATATTGACATTTTTAAAGATATAAGCTCATCCCGATGTCACACTCGTCGAGACCTTTCATTTGAGTACCCACATCAATTTTTCATATATTCTATATATTTATATATTTCACAAATAGCTTATATATAAAATATATAAAAAATTCCATGTGGGTACTCAAATGAAAGGTCTCGATAAGTGTAACTTCAGGATGAGCTTATGTCTTTAAAAATGTCAATAATTAAGAAATTACCTTGTATCTTGTCAACTAATGATATTTTCAAAGATATAAGCTCATCCCGATGTTACACTCATCAAGACCTTTCATTTGAGCACCCACATTAATTTTTCATATATTTTATATATTTATATATATATATGAATATATGAAAAATATATAAAAATGCATGTGGGTATTCAAATGAAAGCTCTTGATGAGTGTAACATCGGGATGAGCTTATATCTTTAAAAACGTCAATATTTAAAAAAGTACAGTGCAATTTAATACGTCATTATTTAATAAAGCAAAATTTTATTTATTTATATTTCACAAGTCACGGTAGTCACAGTGACTGCAAGGTTACTAGTAAATATAAATAATTTAAAGTATTTGCTGCGAAAAGTACAACTCATGTTTAATTGTGTTTAAAAATCAAACCCAGTTACGTGATACGTGCCAAAGATTCCTTGCACGCGAGTCAATGATTCCAATGTACATCGTGTCTTATCGATGCTAAATATTTACGGAATTTTATTCTCTCAATACTCAATTCTAGTCTTTTAAATTTTTACTTCATAAATGTTTAAATATTTTTATAATTTGTCTCTAAATAAAAGGAAAAAATTTTGATATATACTCAAATTTTTCCACCCTTATTTCTACAGTAATTTATACTGTCAAAAATAACAACACCCATAATTTAAATTATTAATAAATATATCACTAATTATATCGATTAGAGTCCGAAAATAAAATCCTCATCCATAATTCATGCACCTAAAAATACTTATTGTTAGAAATATTTTTTCTCCGTCTAATAATAAACAATACATCTGATGATTAAATAATGAAATAATAAATAATAAAATTGTGTATTGATTTGTGATAACTGATAACAAGAATTAATGACAAAAAAAATAACAAAATTGCATAAAGGTATAGGTAATTTAATGAAGGTGATAGAAGCACAATAAGCGACCTGCTTTTTGGTCGACGTAACGATTCTAAAAGGGGTCCTTTGATCTTTCGACCCCACCGACCGCCGTAAACGCAATACATTTTATCCCTTTGCTTTGTCAGACCGTTTGTTAATCGATCTGTGTTATACTGTCTACAAATATCTTGTTTATGGTTAATGTAAATCAAGATAATTATCAATATTTTTTTATTATTATTACATTTTTAATCTTTGATGATTAATTAATTATTTAAAGTAAAAGATTTTTTAATTTAAATATTTATTTATTTATTTAAAGATTTTTAAAAACTTTTTATGTTTTTATTAATTTTTTTTTATCAAATTTTTAAAATAAAAATAATGAAGAAAAAATTCATTTTTAACAAATCATATTTTTAATAGATGAAAATTCGAGATTAAAAGGATGAACATGTAACTTATATCATCAATAAAATAGATATAGGTCGTATGCGCCGACTTTACCCGTACCGAGCGATGCAAAGTCGAGTATAAGGGATAAGCGTGGGCGGTAAATTCACGTGAGAAAAGTAAAGCGCGTTACGAACATCCGTTTGTTAGGTGATCAATACTTTAATACCGAACAACACCGGAGAAGGCGCGATATTCTTGCTCGTGCGTTCTAAAGCCTCAAATTGCCCAGTTTTATAAACACGCGTTATTTTGTTGCTAAAACTATTTATTTATTTGTGATAATAAACATTATTCTACATTTATTCACTAGTAAGTTACTTTTTCATTTATTCTACATTATTATTTGTAATTATTTTTTTAACTTAGACATTAAATATTTAATCAGAGAATTTTTAGTCTAATTACAAAGATGAAGATAAAATATCCGTAAATTTATTAATTGATTTTTGTTTTATTAACTTTGACTTTCTTGTGAAGAATAAATTTTATAAATTAAAGAAATTTTTTAGTAAATTCAAGAATTATAAGAATATGTTTGTAAAATAATAAATTTTTTATATTTTTCAGTTTTTAAATTATAAATATGATATTAACAATTGGAGTATTGACAATTATTACAATTGTTCAAGGAACAATGTACATGCCATCTTTAAAGGTAATTTTATATTGTTATTATTTAAAATTTTTAAATTAATAGTAATAATAATAAGTAGCAACCTTACAGTCACTATGTGATTTGTGAACTAAAAATAAATAAAATTTAAGTTTATTAAATAATGGCTTTTGTTCAATTGCACTGTACTTTCTTAATTATTGACGTTTTTAAAGATCTAAGCTCATCATGACATTACACTCATCAAGAGCTTTTATTTGAGTACCCACATGCATTTTTATATATATTTTTCATATATACATGTATATAAATATATGAAATATATGAAAAATTGATGTAGGTACTCAAATGAAAGGTCTCGATGAGTGTAACATCGAGATGAGCTTATATCTTTAAAAATGTCATTAGTTGACAAGATACAATGTAATTTCTTAATTATTGACGTTTTTAAAGATATAAGCTCATCCCGATGTCACATTCATCGAGACCTTTCTTTTGAGTACCCACATGACATTTCTTATATATTTTATATATATGGTATTTGTGAAATATATAAATATATAAAATATATGAAAAATTGATATGGGTACTCAAATGAAAGGTCTCAATGAGTATAACATCGAGATGAGCTTATATCTTTAAAAATGTCATTAGTTGACAAGATACAATGTCATTTTTTAATTATTAACGTTTTTAAAGATATAAGCTCATCCTGATGTTACACTCATCGAGACCTTTCTTTTGAGTACGCACATGGCATTTTTCATATATTTTATATATATGGTATTTGTGAAATATATAAATATATAAAATATATGAAAAATTGATATGGGTACTCAAATGAAAGGTCTCAATGAGTGTAACATCGGGATGAGCTTATATCTTTAAAAATGTCAATGCTTCTCAAGATACAAGGTCATTTCTTAATTATATATCTAGAGATAAAGATCATCAATATTTTAAGTTGAAAGATTATTATTAGTATTACTATTTTATTTTTTATTTTTATTACATAAAAATATTTGTTTATATTAAAAAAAAAGGTCCCTCTATACTCGGATTTACTTCTCCGAGATATAATTGATCATATGAGCAAAGACCTAGCAGAAACAGCAGACTCTTATATGGATTACCCAGAGATGGGTCGCGACGCCGAAGACTACGAGAAAGCCAAAGAAATCCCCGCAGAAATGTCGATTGATTACGAAGAAATGGAAACGCTTAATCCTAATCCAAGTATCCGCGATCACGAGTACCTGAGACACAGTAGTCTTGTAGCTAACCAGAGAATGAACGACGAAGCGGGTGAAGATAGACACAAGGTTCAAGCTGCCGAGCCCAAGGGACTCAAGGAAGACAAATCCGAGAATACTCTTCCAGCTTATTGCACTCCTCCCAATCCGTGCCCAATCGGATACACAAGTACTATTATAAATATTATATTCTTATTGCTTAAAAAAACAAGTTATTAAAACAATAAAATTATTATATTTTTTTTTTAGGCGCAAACAATTGTCTAGAAAATTTTGAAAACACCGCAGCTTTTAGTCGCGATTTTCAGGCATCCCAAGACTGCATGTGTGATAGCGAACATATGCTTGATTGTTTGAACAACAATAATGAAAATAATCAAGCTATGAATGGACAAATTGCCAATTCTGAATTTGAAAAAATTGTTGGAAGTTTACAGGTTGATTTTTTTAATCAATTTATTATTATTAACAATTAATGAGTGAAAAATTATTTTATAATTTAACAAAATATAATTTTTTTCAGGAGGGTAATCCTTATTTCCGGGGTGAAAAATTGCCAATTGCAGCTAAAAAAGGGATCAATGTATTTTCATATTAAAAAATATTTTTAAAATTGGTTACCTCAAAATTTTATCACAAAAATAATCAACTTGTATAACTAAATTTTTTTTCAAAATTATGTACTTTAATTTTGATGGTAATACCAAAGTATGTACTCAATGGTCTAATATAAAATATATTATCAATTTAAATATTTAAAAAAATATTCGTGTGAAAATTGGTGTCAAACCAAAAATATATCGTTATTTATAAATTATAACAACTAATAAATATAAAAAAAGTTAATATATATATATATATATATATATATATATATATATATGTTATATAGAATTTATTTTTAACGTTGAAAATTGACAAATTTTAATAAATATCTATTACTTGAGTATTTTTAACAAAACGACAAGATACAATTATATTATGCATGATACTTAATTTAAAATGAAAATGAAATACAATTGTCATTATGAATGGTGCTACAATAAAAAAAAATTATATAATTTAAATGCAAAATTTTTTGTACCTGAAGTACTTAAATAAGTAAGAGACATTCCACAAAAAATTAATTTTTGAAAATTAACAATAAATAATCACGACAAAATTTTTTTACACTTACAAACAATTTAAATAGACGATTAATTAATGTTTATGTACATTTTCTATTTTTGATCGTTATAAAATAATTATACGACTAAAATTATCTCAATTTTATAAATTTCAATAAAAATAACTATAAATATATAAATATTGTATTAACAAATTTAAACTAATATTATTGCAAGAACTTTGATGATAATTAAAATTACCAGCAATAATTTTTGTTATTTTTTCCGATAGCTCAGCAGCGTTGTGTATATTTTACTGAGAGCTGTTGTCAAATCTTCTCGGTCTTTTGCTCCTATAAATAATTAATTAGTAAAAACATTTTTTATAAAATTGTTAAAAAAAAAAATTATTTATATATTAAATAGGTAAATCTTGAAAAATAATTACCTGTCATAACAATTTTTCCATTTACAAAAATAAGCAAAACAATCCTTGGAGCAATTAACCGATAAATGAGTCCAGGATACAATTCCGGTTCATAGGAAGTAAAATTACCATGAGACTCGCATAAGCTCTCTAGTTTTATCGGAAACTTCAGGTCGCAAGTCGCCACGATATTCTGAATTTTAAAGTCCTTGAACTTCACATGAAAGCCTATTTTCTGAATGATTCGCGCGAATTTCCGGGTCGCTAAGTAGGAGTCCTCCTCGCACCTTGCTCCAGTGCAAACTAACTTCCCTGATCTGAATATTAGCGCAGTAGCTCGCGGGTTACGGATTCTCATGACAAGTCCAGTGAATCTCGCTGGGTTGTACTCGGAGTTACGCGTGCAAGCGTTTATTTTCATTAGGTTCAACTCGGTTTCTAAATTGACAGTCGAGACAACGTTCCTAAATTTATTACAGATCTTGATAATTATTATAGCAAATATTGATTTTTTTGTTTATTTAAAATAAACTTAATATATAATTATATTTTTATGAAATTGGATAATAATTAAAGACACTGAAGTTAACTGACGTTAGAAATTTTTTTAGAATTTTACAACAATTAAATTACTATGAAAAAAAATTTAATAAAAAAATTCTAAAAGTGAAAATTAAAAAAATTTTTTTTATTGTAACTAATTTTTTATAAAAATTAAAAATTGTCAGCTAACTTCAGTATTATTAATAAATTATTATTATTAATTATTTATGATTTTTAATATTTGTCAATTTTTTTGATTTTTATAACTAAAAAATTTGACATTTAAAAAGTTAAAATAACAAGTGCAAATTTGTTAAAAATATATTTTTTTTTATAATTGACTTGTAAAAAAATTACTAGATGTGTTAATAAATATCACGTGTATTTAAAAAAAAAAAAAAGGTTTATATTATTTTTTTTTTATTGTGTTGAAATTTTTAATGAAAATTAATGAAAATAAAGTTAGCCGACATCTAAAAATTTTTATGATTTTTTTTTATTAAAAAATTATTACAAAAAAATTTCATTTGTTAAAAACTATAAGTGCAATTTTTTAAAAATATTTTTTAGTTATAATTTAATAAATTAAGCAAAATCAAAAATGTCAACTAACTTTATTATTATTGAAAATTAAGTTAGCTGACATCTAAAAATTTTTAGAATTCTTTTTTATTGAAAAAATCATTACAGAAAAATAAAAAAAATTTTCATTTGTAAAAAACTTGAAAAACTATTTTTTAGTTCTAATTTAATAAATGAAAAATAGTCAAAAAATTAAAAACGCCAGCTAACTTTAATATTATAAATTTTTAATTAATAATTATTAAATTTAAAAAACTTACTGTATGACAGGTTCCAATACTTCTTTTTGACCAGTAGCCGGAGTCGAAGCTGTCATAGAAGCTTGAGGATTATTATTATTACTACTAGTACTGCTTTGTGTAGAACTAGGTTTCGGTACATTTGTCTAAAATAATAATAATTATTATTATCAACAAATAAATAAATAAATAAATAAAAAATTATAACCTTTACTTACAGAGAGCGGTGGAGCCATCACATTGTCCTCAGAACCTCTTCCCGGGCTGGGACTACCAAGTAGCCGCTTCAACTCATCATTTTGCCCGGACATTATTAATTATTCTATTTACTATTTAATCCCTCACTTTAAATTATTATTTTAAACAGTTGTCATCTATCACGTGGAGTTTTGAAAGTCTTCCAGATGCTGATGATCTGATGAGACTTTTTACAACTAATGTGATTATTTTTCTGTTGGCAGTGAAAGTTCTTTAGATTGTCAGGAACTAGTGACTTTAGTGTGTAACTAGAAAATAATTTCAAGTTTTATAAATTAACACGCGATAATTAATTAATTTGTGGCTGATAAATTTAAGTGGTATGAGAAATTACAAGTGAATTTAAAGTGACGTTTTATCAAAGAAGAATTTGTTTCTTTTGAATTGAAGAAAAAAATTTTAACTTGTTCAGGAATCGAACCTACGATTGTAGGGTGTAGTGTGTGATTTGTGAGATGTGTACCATCGTACAGATCAGAATAATCGATGGAATTTTTAGTATTCTTATTGTCAATCAGCTGTAAAGAGAAAGTACTTGCAGCGCCATAATTTAATTTTCCCGCGGAAAAAATTAGTTTTAAAATTATGAAAATTAAGTCAGCTGACATTTAAAAATTTTTAGAATTTTTTTTATTGAAAAAACAATTACAAAAAAATTTCACTTGTAAAAAACTTTAAAAACTTCAAGTGTAATTTTTTAAAAATATTTTTTTGTTTTAATTTAATTAATAAAAAAATTTTTAAGAATTAAAACGTCGGCTTACTTCAGTATTATTTAAATTAATAATTAATTTAATTGAATAAACTTTTTTTTTAAGTTGACAGACATTAGAAATTTTTTTAGAATTAAATATCAGCTGATTTTGGTTTAAATATTTGAAAATTAAATTTTCTAAATGACACCTGGAATTTCGCTGCAATTGACTTCCAAACGACTATAACCTCAAAAATATAAAAGGTAAATAAATAAAAATAAGAATAAATGCAACCATGTGCTGAGTGTAAAAATAAACAACCGTTAGTTGTTGTTCGATAATATTTCAATGCGTTCTATTTTTTCAAAACTAAATCTATCAGTGCCTGTTATAATAAATCGCTTTATAAAAACTTCATCAGTGATGGCGAAAAGTAAATTCGAGTATGTAAGACTTTATGAGCGGGATAATGTTTGCCTGCAAAATTGCTGGATTGTTGTGAGGATAGATGGAAAAAATTTTTCAAAATTCTCAGACGACCACAAATTTTTAAAGCCTAATGATATCAGAGCTCTTGAGTTAATGAACATAGCCGCTTCTGCGGTAATAAGAGAGTTCCATGATATTGTATTAGCATTTGGGCAGAGTGATGAGTATTCGTTCGTTTTTAGGAAAGAAACTAGCGCTTATAATCGCCGAGGTAATTTTTATTTATTTTATTGTTTTTTTTTTTCTTAATATTTAAATAAAAAAAATATGAAATTTAATTGAGTAATTTTTTCAAACAAGTAAGCTTTTTCAAAGCAAAAAGAATTTAAAAAAAAAATAATGTTATGTAGAAATTTAAAAAAATTATAAATGCAATTTTTTAAATGAAAATGAAGTTAGCTGACATTTCAAAATTTTTAGAAATTTTTTATTGAAAAAATTCCAATTAAACAATTAAAAAAAAAAATTTCACATGTAAAAAACTTGAAAAACTATAAGTGCAATTTTTTAGAAATATCTTTTTAGTTGTAATTAAATTAAAAAAAAAAATCAAAAATTTTTAGACGTCTGCTAACTTCCGTGTGATTTTTTTTAAAAGAAATTTGTTTATGAAATAAAATGAAAAAATTACCAAGTGACTGTTAATTTAAATTTCATAAAAAATATTCCACATGCAGAAATTCTAAAGAGTTTTTTTTAATTGTCAGCTATTAACTAATTTTATCATGATAAATTATTTTATTTCTAAATAACAAATATATAATACCAAATAATTATTAATTTTTTTTTTTTACAGAAACTAAACTGCTGACTTACGTTAATTCTCTTTTCTCATCGGCGTATACATTCCACTGGCGTGACTTCTTTACAGAATGTGCCTTGAAATATCCGCCGTCCTTTGATGCCAGGGTGGTACTCTACCCATCGGACGAAAATTTAAGAGATTATTTATCCTGGAGGCAAGCTGATGTTCACATTAATAATTTATACAACACTTGCTTTTGGAATTTAGTACAACGGCAAAATATGACTACCGCAGAAGTAAACTAATAAATTTATAAACTCACTAAATAAAAATAAAAATAAATTTGAATTAATTTTAAATTTTAATTTACAGGCTCAAGAAAAATTAAAAGGAACAGTCAGTAGCCAAAAGAACGATTTACTTTTTGATAGTTTTGGAATTAATTACAACAATGAGCTGCCGATTTATCGGAAAGGTACAACGATAATTAAAAAATTAATACCCGACGAAAATGGTAAAATGAAGTCAACAGTTTTAATTCTGAATGAAGACATCATAGGAGACAGATTTTGGAAAGAACATCCCGAGATTCTAGACCCAAAAGCTAAAGCAAAAATCAATAATTTAAATTGTAAAAAATCAAAGTCGTAAAATATTGAAAAATTATCTGAATTAACAAAAAATCTTTTAATTTAATATTTAATTAAAAAAAAAAAATAAAGTTATAGATTTTTTTTATTATATATCAATCTGTCTATCTTTCTTACAATGATATACATTATACATACACATTTATAATATTTATATATTTATATGATTGAAGGTATTTAATTGGTTAATTTGGGTACACGATTTCAGAATGGAATGCAATAATTATTTTGTAACATATATTATTAATTAATAATGATAATAACAAGTTAACTCTCGGTTAATAGTAATACTCTATACATTTTGCCTCAGTAAATAATAATAATAAAATACGCCGTTATGTATCAAGGCGTCAACAACAGCTTAATAGATAAGGTCGTTTTTTTAACTGATTTTTAATGTACACATTTCATATTATCATGGGGTTGAAATTTAAAAAAAAACATTCGCTTAAAATATCGGGATGTAGTTGTCGATTTTAGCGCGATGTTTTTGAGCAACGCACTCTGAGATCCAGACAATGTTCCGGCATTCTTGTTCTTTGAGTTTTAGATAACTGTAAAATACTCCAAAGTGAAATTGTTGAAGGAATGCATGCACATTCAAGCGTACCTGAAAATAAAATTATTTTTTTATTTAAAAATTATTTTAGTATTTTTTACAGGTAATAACAAACTAAATATTTAAAAATAGCTCAAGTAAAACTAAATTGTAAAATAATTTATATTGTAATTTTTTAGGTATTTAATTATTATGAAAAAAATTCCACTCGTGAAAATTAAAAAAAATGTGGAATTTTTTAAAAACATTTTTTTTTTTATTGCAATTAATTTCTTGAAAGAATTAAAAAAAATTAATAATTGTCAGGTAAGTTTTAAATTGTATTAAAAAATAATTACCTCATGCTCAAAAAATTTATCTTCAAGAGTCTTATCTCCAGGATTATTACCAGCGCCTTCAAACAATGCACTGTATTCCTAAAAAAAAAAAAAAATCAATAATTAATGTCTTCTATAAATTAAAATAAAAAATTAATATCCATAAAAAAAAAAGAATCCTGGAAAAAATTTTTAAGTTATGAAAAATTCGTGTTATTTCATTAAAATTATTATAAAATAAAAATTATAATAATAATTAAATTATTATTATTATTATTATTATTTTATTATTATAATTTTAATGAAATAATATGAATTTTTCGTAACTTAAAAATTTTTTCTGATTACCAAAAAAAAATAATTATAAACTTACAGCATAATACTCAGCAACAGCTTTAACTTGTTCGTAATCATCAGCCCGAGCTAAGGCAGCAAGTCCATCAGGATTAAGCCGACCGCAGCGTGGGTACAATTTGGCTCGATCATCCTTACCGAGCTCAGTACCGAAAGAATTGATCGTAATAATAATAGCACGTCTGTCCGCCTCAAAAGCTAGAATCTCGCACATAGTATCAGCAGTAGTTCCTCCGATGTCTTTGCAAAAAGTGTAAAAAGCCTCCAAGTAAGCTTTGTACAGAGTGTTTCTGATTATTTCAATGTTCATCTCGTCCAAATCTTGCTCAGAGATGCAGTCGACGAAAAATGGAGCTAACAAATTAAATCATTTATTAATTTATTAGAGTGGACTTGTTTTTTTTTTTTTATTAAAATAAAATTGCAAGTGTCAATAACTAGGTCAGTGTCAATAACTGGGTCATTTACCTTAGTTGCTAAAAAAATGATTAAATATCTGCTAAATTAATTTTCATTAAAATTTTTTCCGGTCTAATGTTCCAATTACCCATTAAATGACTTTCTACTCTAAAATTCTTAAATCAATAGTTAAAAATAAATAAAAATTACCAAGCGGAGTATCAACTAATACTGCATTGTAGAGTTCAGCAGGAGTAGCTGCAACATGAATAGCTTCCATTTGCTCAAAGCTACCCAGCGGATGACACTTGGGAATCAGCTCAGAAATCGGTCGCTGGTGAAGGGTCCCAGTTATCAACAGGATAATATTATCAATCATGTAACTGTAGGTTATGAAGTCCAGGAACTGTGACAGAGGTTCCACGGAGTGATTACGCATATGCTGGAACTCAATAACTAATTTTTCTCTCAGCTTGTCATCAATGACACTGACAGCTAATGGTGAGGGCTCGTTTGCCAGAAAACTGCCGTAGTCAGTACCAGCGAGATGTAATTTTAAATCTGTCAGATTAAAAATAAAAAAAAATATATATAAATACATTTTATTAGTTAGAAAGAATTAAAAAAAATAATTAAATTAAAAAAATACCTTCGAGTGTTTCACATTGAACTAAATTAAGATAATCACTCTGTTGCAGGATTCCACACTTGAATCCACGGCACAAACCTTCAAGATAACCATTGTCGATATTGAACAAGCAGCCCTTCATGATTATTATTATTATTATTTTATTATTATTATTAATTAATTATTTTAAAAAAAAAACAAACTAGTTGATAAATTATTTTTTCTGGCAAGACAATTGTAAATTAAATGGAGATTAGAGACACTGGACTCGCCCTACTATCACCAGACCTGGATCATATGACCGAGCTGTCTGAAGTTGGCTGAGTATTGAGTATAGTGTGATAGTACTGAAGTTAGCCGTCAGCTGTCAATTTAAAAAATGTTTTTAATAAATCAATAAATCTATTGCAATAAAAAAATACTTTTAAAAATTGTCACTTGTAATTTTTAATTTTCACTTGTGAAATTTTTTAATTAAATATTTTTTTTTTTTAACAATTTAATTGATACAAAGTTGTAAAAAAATTATTAATGTCTGTCAACTTCAGTGTGTAGTTCGTAGTGTTGGCTCTTTTGCTCTAGGCAAGGGAGTTACCCAGTTTGAAGGTTAGAGAGAGACAAGAGAGATCATTGATCAGCCAAGGCGGCGATTTAACCAATAGAAATTTATTTTTACAAGAAAAAAAAGAGGGAGGACCAGTTATGTTTTATGTAAACGTCAATGGAAATAAATTTTTGGTTTTATGTTGTGAAGGTTATCACGTAATTTGATGCTGGGATATATATAATTGACACATGATGAGTAATTGAAAAGTTTTTTAAGTGTTTTTATTAGTGTAATTTTGTTATTTTTTTAATTATGTTTGGGAGAAAGAAAGAACAAAAAAAGGAACGAAAACCGCGGACTAATAATCCGGTAAAGTGTTTTATAGATTTTTTTTATTATTGTATGAAATTAAAGTTAGCACTTGATAATTTTTTTTAACAAACAAATTGGTTAAAAAATTGTATTTTTAATTTTTTAAAATTTCTAAATGTCAATTTTTTTTTCTTGCCATTTATTTGTTGAAAAAATTCTTAAAATGATTAAATATCTGCTAAATTAATTTTCATGTTTTTTATTATTATTATTATTATTATTATTGTATGATGATAAGTTTTTTTATTGTTTGATAGTTGGGAATTGATTTTATGGGAGGTTTTGACCCCATGGGGATCCCAGATGATGATGAAGATGATGAAGATTTGGAGAGTGAATTAAATCGGCTGGCAATGGGTGATGATCCACGGCCTAGACGTCCAGGTTTGTTTATAAACATTTATTTTAAATCAGCTGACATTACAAATTTTTTTCCATTTTTTTAAATTGATTAAATTGGAACTAAAAAAAATATTTTTAAAACTTGCACTTGTAGTTTTTCAAATTTTTAACGTCAAATTTTTCTTTTTATTTTTTTAATAAGAATCCTAAAAATTGTCAGATGTCTTATAATTTTATTTTCATGATGATGACATTTAAGTTAGCAGTCACTTGACTATTTTTTAATTTTTTTTAATAAATAAATTTACTCCAAAAAATTATTTCTAAAAAATTGCATTTTTTATTTTTTTAATTTTCTAAATGTCAATTTTTTTCTCATTTTCTTTGACATAATTTATTTGTTAAAAAAATTGACATATAGAAATTTTTAAAAAATATAAATACAACTTCTTAAAAATAATTTTTCGGAACAAATTGTTTTATTAAATAAAATTAAAAAATGGTTTGCTTACTTATGACACTATCAGGTGCTTGATAATTTAATTATTTAGCTTTTATTAGCTGATTAGTAAGTGGTACAAAAATATACAAGCTATGTTATTAAAATAGCAATAAGTAGATTTTAAAACAGATAAATTTTATTTAGACAATATTGAAATTATTTATTATTTGAAAATTGTGCTTCTATTTTTAGTTATGACAATGACACATTAAGATTAGATATTAATAATAAAATAATCTTTTATCATCTTTTATAAAATAAGAAGTTTTAATGTGATTTTTATTTTTTTAACAGTAATTAAATTGATACAAAAAAAATGTTATTTTTAAAAATTTAAAAAAAAAAAAACATTTTTTTATCATATTTAAATTGTTACAAAAATTTTAATTAATTTATTATAATAACAAAATTAACAAATATTTAATAATATCACTTTTTTATTTTTTAAAGAAACAAAATTAATATTTTTTTTTTATATAAAAAATATAGCGCCTAAACCACCAGCAGAATTAATAGATCTAAACTTCGAAGTCAAAGAAATTGGCTCTGACGAAGAATTATCTGGAGATGACGATGATCCCGACTTATTGGTACTTAATTAATAATTAAAAATAAATTACCTCCCTCCAAATCAATCAAAAAATGTCAAACAATTTTTAAATAACTTTCAGAACGAGCTCGAAGCTCTAAAAAATGAAGACGATTCTCCAAACCTCGAAGAAGTTTCTTCAACGCCATCCAGCCCAGCTGAGTCCCCGGGTTCCGAGGAACTAGTAAAGCTCCTAGAAGAAAGACTAAACCTCTACAAGCAAGCAGAGTTGAAATCAAAAAGTACAAACGACACCTCAAAAGCTCGCCGTTACAATCGCGGTGTGAAAACGCTTCAAGGAATGCTACGCGACGCCAAAGCGGGGAAGAACGTCGAGTCAGCAGATATACCGCCTTTGCTTCCGCGATCTGCTACTCAAATGACTCCAGACACTCCTGCTGATCAAGGTATTTTCCATCTATTTATACCCACTTATGTATTTTTTATTTTAAAATAATTTTATTTAGAACCCGATACTCAAGATTATTTTTTTTTATTTTAAAATAATTTTATTTAGAATCCGATACTCAAGAAATTCCATTGGAAAATTCCACTCAACCTGAACCAACACCAGAAATTCCTCCAGAAGCTCCACCAACAGCCGAACCAATTCCAGTAGATGAAGAAAAATTAGCACTATTAAAAAAACGCCAGCATGAATACAAAATAGCAGCAGTTGCTTGGAAAAAATCCGGACAGGTTGAAGAAGCAGTTAAATATTTAAAAATAGCAGTGAGATTTGATGCTGTAATATCAGCGTTGACTTCTGGAGAACCTGTTGATTTATCAGACATGCCACCAACTCCAGATTTACCTAATAATAATAATAATAATAATAATAATTCATCAACTGTAACCTCAACGGAAGTAAATCTTCCTCAAGAGCCTGCTAAAGAAGAAAGCGAAGTTCAAGACTCTGTTGAAGAACCACCAGCTCCAACTCCTGTTACTGGAGGAGATATTATGGGTGCTTTGAAGGAGAGATTAGAAGTTTATCGTCGGACTAAGACAGCTGCTGAAGAAGAGGGGAATTCTTCAAAAGTCAGAAGATACGGACGTATTTGTAAACAATATGAAGATGCGATAAAACTTCACTCTAAAGGAAAATCTATTCCTGTTGATGAACTGCCAGTTCCTCCGGGATTCCCTCCAATTGTATTGAATGTAGCTGCTCCTAAGCCTGCTCCAGCTCCTGCTCCAAAACCTGCTCCAGCTCCAGGTCCAGGTCCGAAGACTTCGTCAGAGAATTCTGGAACTGGGAGTGAGGAGAGACCTACGGCGCCAGCTAGAGGGAAGCCGATGACTTCCCGAGCCCAGAAGCAAACTATGATTTTGCAGAAACGACAAATAGAATTAAAACGCGCAGCACTGGCTGCTAAGAAGGAAGGAGACTTGGACTTGGCTAAGGATTACCTGAGACAGGCGAAGCAAATTGAACCTCTGATACAAGCTAGTATGTCCGGACTGCCAGTAGACTTGGCCTCGGTTCCGCTGTCTCCGGTTTCTAAAGAGGAACTTCATAATTCTATTGCGGCTTCTTCTAATGACAGTTTCGCTTTAATGTCCTCTGATGATTGCCAGCCGAGTGAAGCTACGGGGACTGATCAGGAAATTTATGATAACTTGGAGAAGCAGTTGGTTAAGCATAGGAAGGTTTGTTTGGCTACGCGGGATCATGCCAAGGCTCTTGGGGATGTTCCTGGGTATAATAGGTGGGAAAATATGGCGCTGGGGTATAGTAGGGATTTGGATATGCTTCGGGTTAGACGCAGAGATGGGCTGCCGCCTCCGCAGCATCATTATGAAGTTAAAACTTACGCTATTGTTCAGTAATTATATTCTTTTTTTATTTAGGATTAATTTTTAACAGTGTTGGGGAATTATTTTTTTTTTTTTTAGTTATTTTTTATTAATTTAAAATTTTCAAAGAATTAAATAAAAGAAATTTTTTTTTCACTCAACACTGTTAATAATAAAATTAATAAATATCTGATAATAGTAAAAGTTTTTTAATAAATAATCTATATTATTAAGAAATGACTTTGTATCTTGTAAACTATTGAAATTTTTAAAGATATAAGCTCAT